AATATCTACATACAACCTCTCTCTCTCTCTCTCTCCCATGACCTCTCTCTCACCTCTCTCTCTCCTAGAGGGGCACGCCCCACTCTTTCTCCTCCATATTTCTCAATAATTTTCTCTCTCCAAAACCTTAGGTAGTACTCTTTCTCCTCTCTAGACCTAAGTTAATATTAAGGATTGGGAAAATTAGAGGGGGGCCTAAGTTAATTTTGGGGGTAAGGTTAGTAGAGATTTTAAAGGGTGGTAACCTAGTTTGGCCGAAATTAGCTATCCCAATTCGAGATTGAAGCTAGACCACAGATCCCTCGCCATTGGATGTGGTGACTCTGTGTGGGGTATAAAAAGTCCGGTTGAGGTAACCTCCGATATCTTTTCTTTTATTTGTTTGTTCTTTTATTTTATATTGTCAAGCACAGTATTAGGTTGCATGAATGGCATCAAGTGGTTGTGATTTATTTTTTTGATGTGTTATTTATTTTTGGAATTTCTATTGTTTATAATAAGACCATCTGTGAGTGATCTTGTTGCCAAAATTATAAGGGGTGATTATTATTAAAAAAAAAACAAAAAATTGTATTTCCACAGCAAAAGATCACATAGGTCTTTCTTTCATCCCCAAGCTCTATGAACGGGTCTGAAGGCTAGGGTATTACTGGCCATCCATCGTCGCGGATTCTCTGGCCAATGCCAAGAAATGCTAAGGTGTCAAATGCACGCAAACTTCATTTATCGAGCTCCAGAACCTCTTCACCCCACAATGGCGTCATGGCCCTTCTCACTAAGATATCAAATAAAAGCAAAGAAGGACGGTATCAAAGAAACAAAGATAAAAATGAGGATATTACCAAAAGGGAAATGGTAAGAATATCTGCCTTGACTAAGATTGGGAAGCGGTGTAATGGAATCACTTCGAAATTTGAAATTAATGTGTGGATTTGTGATGGCCGGTGAGCAAGAGAGAGAAACAGTAGGGCCAGTGGGAGGATGCTCTACCACAAAGTTGAGAAGGAAAAGGTGACCAAAACTAAAGGGTAGGGGCACAGCCAAGTTATGGCTGTAAAACCGACCAGGTTCATTGTATTCCTCCATTTTAGAAACGAAAGTATCTGATTCCAAACGTCCCTCTAAATTCAGCTGAGCAGCCCCTATAAATACATGTAACAGTAGTTGCCTCTCAGCAGCCTATCTGATATGCATTGGGAGACCCCTAGAGTTCCCTCAACCCCTTCAGCGATGTGCTCTCTTCTATACAAAAGAGAGAGAGAGAGAGAGAGAGAGAGAGAGAGAGAGAGTAGTTAGTGTCGTGGTTGTTAGGAGAGAGAAGAAGAGAGTAGTTAC